TCTCAAACTGATGCTAGAAATAACATGCAACCTTTTTTCCATAATAGAAATAAGATAAGACAAAACACTTATAACCCTAGAATACACAACTCTCGCTACTCAGAAATGATGTAACTCATTTCTTCAAGCAATTAATCTAAGCCTTGTACCAACTCAACCAGTCCTACCCAATATAATATCATATGAAGAAATGGATAATAAAATCAAATTGAGTTTCCACCTTTTTTTTTTATCAAAAATCTCAATATCACAGAAATAAAATCTATTGGTTATTATATAATCTCCAGTTGATAAAATAACATAAAGAGAAACATGTAGTACAACTGATGATAAGTGTAGTAAATAAAAAATAATAATTAAAAATAAATGAATAACTAGCTCCAAAATTGAATAAAATATAACATGGATACTCATAAATATAAATTGTATATGTCATAACATTTAGAGCATCATGACCCTCTTGTTGAGTCTAATCATATACACATGGCTGAATTGGAGCTAGATGGCCTTCTTGCTACGGAACCAGAACCATCGTCTCTACCAGATGGTCCCTTAGAAAAAGTATAGAGTATAACTTCCCTTGGTCTCCTTACAGGTTTGACGAAGATTTTAGATATGGGCTCAAAATGTTTGTCAAATCTTGCATGTGGACACTCTACCACCCTATATTCAATATATCCACACCAAAAATACTATCCAATCATATTGTAATACTGACTATAATGATGATTACCATAACTCTGGAACACAGGTGCCTCACTAAAAGAACCAAAACTAGCTATGCTTCCACTGCGATAGATTGTTATATATAATGACTATCCACCTCTCTTGGAATCTTTAGGCGTAAATATGTTATTGTTCCAGAAAAGCCACTAGGAGAAGTCTCTCCACTAAATATCTTTCTACTAGTAGTCCGATCCACCAATGATGAGTAGCCATTATATCGTTATTTATCAGATGAGCTATCCCACCAGCTTGGAAAAATTAAAAATGTGAAATGGCACTAGAGCCAATCTCAAACTATCATGTAGTCCTCTCAAAAACCTGTAGCACTTCACCACGAGAGTGTTAACCAACTATGGAGCATATCTAGCCAAAGTAGTGAACTCTGTCTCATACTGTATAAATTCCTTGTTACCCTAAACCAACCTCAGAAAAGTCTTATATATTTGTTGTCATGTAGAAGATTATACAGACCAAGCTCGAAATATACCAAAGACCTCCTCCCATATAATCAGAGAATTTAACATCCCTTGAAATTTCTCCTTATACTAGCCCATCCACTAGCGCTCTACCTCATTATCTAATAAAAATACTAATAATTGTACTTACCTCTTAGGAGGATAATACATATCATCAAATATCTTTTCTAGCCTTCTTAACCAGTCTTTTACTTCCCTGGGATTAATAGCACCCTCAAACCTCATAGGCTTCAATCTCAGAAATATTTGTAGATGCCAGTATACCTCATCAGATCTCATAGCAGGAACCTTACTCTATGCCTCACTTATCATCTAGGCTATCAAAGTAGCAAACTATAAAACTATATCCAAACCTACTTTCAGAGCAGTATTATAGACAAGAGCTTTCTGACTAGTACTCTATCCATTTATCATGTCTGAGTTTGGCTAATCTATACTCACACAAACTATGTAGTTAAACATACATGTATATGAAATAAATAATAAATGAATACCTAGACAGACTCAAAACTATCCTACCAGACCTATAGATTAATTCATATAACTCTATTTTATGATATGATTCAAAAACTATTACTCTGATATCACAATAGCTTGTGACAACCCAACTCGATCAGGAAAGATCCTATAGTGACCTATGATAGATAAATCCAAAGATCTAATTTCTAAATATTTCATATTCTCTTCTAATATTTATTTTAAATAAACTACAGACTGCGAAGCTACTAATACATTGAATTACTAAAAATAAACTCATCCATGAGATTTCTTTCAATTGATCAAAATATATCTACACTATAGTATATGGCTATACATAGAAGCTACATAATTGAATAATAAACTTGTCATGACTATACAAAAATTAAATTAAAATAGGAAAATACCTATAAACTTGGATATGATCCTAAACTGCTAATCAATAAGCTCATTCCCTTTCATAGAGCCTGAAAATTAAAAGTAAAATTACAGTGAGCTACAAAAACTCAGCATGCAACACAAACGAATCTAAATTTCTAAATTCCTTTTATTGAAAGTTTTACTGAATATTTAAAATTAGATAAACGCAATATAATAAATTACTGTACTAAGAAATGTAATACAAACATAACAATTATCTAATTAAAAAAATAATAATAAAATTGAGCACATGAAATAAAATTATAATTCATATCATACAATAGTTTATATTATATTTCCCGGATCAAGATAGAATCTCAAAAAATTCTTTTCTCTTATGACTCTTTTTTGTGTTTATAACATCATAACAGTTCTTAGGCAAAAGAACATAGCTTATATCCATCAGAACATGACTTATAGACACTAGAATATTCCCTGATATGTCCAAAACACTCTAGTCAAATCGGTTTGTAAACCAACACTTAACGGTCCTCCCACTTGTACTGAAAAAGGGTCAATTTCTTAAGGAATTTCACGTAAGCCCAAAAATTATGAAATAATTAGAGTAATTAAAGCACTACACTATATATATTATGACGAAGACGGTTTATGATTTAGATTTATAATGACTCTTGAAATAAATTTTAACTATTATAAGTAAAAAAAATTAAAAAAATTAAGAATTTTCGCCGATTGCTACTTAATGTGTTTCTTGTTAGGTGATGCCAAAGCAAAATGAGTACTTAGAAGGAGGAAACATGAAAAAGCACGTAGCTATTTTAGGTCATAAGGCACCTTTTTTCAATGAGTTGTAGTATAACAAGCAACGACTCAAAAATTGTTGTTGCTTTCGTTAAAAAAAAAATTCAATAGCATAAAAGGGCCCTAAAGATTATAAGATTCCACAAACAATATTTTCAGTTGAAGCCTAAATAAAGCATTATTTGTTAGGTAGTAGAAGGGGATTTTTTCAAAGGGGAATGAACTTTATAATCTTTTGAAATGAGTTTATATGATAATTTGTTTATCTAAAATCATATTAAGCTGGTCAAATTAAAGTTCGACACTTTAATTCGAATTTAAAAATAATTCACTTAATTTATTTTTTTTTTAATTTAACAATCAAAATTAATTAATTTAACTAATTTATGATCAAACCATCCAATCTGATCTACCATATACATCTAATCGTGAGTGAAATTAATCTAACATGCAATTAAGAAGGTAAACTTCTTACATACTCATCATTAGGGGTACAAGTGAGCCGAGTCAACTCTAGCTCAACTCGTTAATAAGCTCACGAGTCGAACTTATCAAGCTACCAATTTGAGCTCGAGCCTATGTATTAAATGAGCTCGAGCTCGAGCTTAATATAGCTCATCTCATAAGCTCATTGAATCACTCAACTAACATAGAAAATATACTTAAAAATTTATTTAAATTTGTATTATATAAAATTGAAGGCATTCTACCAACATAAATAAAAAATATAGTTGCTTTATCGTGAACTATATTATACACAAAGAAGCAATATAGTCCCCTTTTTTTGGAACTGGGGTATCTACCCACTGCCACCCCCTTAAGAGGTGCTTGTTGGCATAATTAATCGCTCGACGATCCTACCAATAACTAGCCTCACATGAGAACTTATTTTGTGTGGACGCCAAATGCCGTCTGGAGACCAACCAAAATGAGCGAACCGCGGCTCGGTACCGCGCTTAGTATTGCTGACGTGACTCATTCTGATTGGCCTCTAGATATAGAGCTGCATTCGACGTTTGAACAGAATAATTTTTATCACCACGTATGCAATATGGTCCCTTGAAGCAAGCCTTTATGTCTATGCTGACACATTCTCAGGTACAAGATGATGCGAATGGCGCCAACGACAACAGGCTGATATTATAATGCTCGGCTTGAAAAGGAGGCATTAGAGAAGCAGTTGCGCACTTTGCCACGCGATGGCCTTACCCATTCAGTAAAGCGCTTCGCCACTTGTACCCGGAAAGAAATGATTCTCCTTGGCCTTCCACCTTCTCCAATGTTTGGCTTGGACCGGTCAGGCTCAGTCACAAATCACTCAATTCACAAAAGTAAGCCAAAGCTCTCATCTCACCGTCCACATAATCGCATCCCAGCCGTAGAATCCATGATGTTGGTCGCACGGTCCTACCGCCACCGAAAGCCATGCGAGCTGCTTATTCTGCCTTTTTTCCTTGGCCGGGCCTTCATCCACTTATAATAAACTTTTGATTTATTAAAGAGCAATTGGAGTATAATTGAGCCGAGTAGCCGACTCGAATTCATCTGGTTAATGATTCAGGCTTATTGAGCCATCATCACTTCAAGTTTAAGCTTATATTTGAACTCAGTCTGATTCATCTCGTAAGCTTATTGGGCTGCTCAATTAACATAAAATTTATTTAAATAGTAAACTTGTTGAGCTGCTCATTAACATAAAATCTATTTAAATATTAATCTTTTAAATGCATCACTCATTTATTTATTAATTAAGAGGTTTTAGGTTTAAATCTGTATATGTGTTGTGTGTGTTTAGGCGTTGCCACTAATTTTTTGGAAAAAAAATAAAAAATTTAAAACTAGCTTAATTTTATATTTTTCAATTTTTTTTATTATTTTATTTATATATTAGTCGTAGTTCAATAAAAATTAAATAAGCTATTTTTTGGTCATAATAATTTTTTTAATAGTTATATAAATTATTATCAAATAAATATAATATTTAATTATAATAACAATATATTTTTTTGAAATATTTAGATCAACATGCTCAAAGTGAATAAACCAAAAAGGGTTACGTGTATAATAAAATATAATCATATTCAATATTAAAAAAAAAAAAAAAGTTTTAAATGGCCACATAGATGACCTGTTGGGGTGCTGTGGTGGGGCCAATCGACCGCCTCTGTATTTTTGTTCTGAGTTTCCGGCTTGGGCTTTCTCCATTGCCCGTGTTCCACTCGACGACGATAACCCTTATAGAAGCAGCCACGAATCTCTCTGCGACCAAAAGACAAATCCGTAGTATGAAGGGACTTCTTCATAAGGTAATGTCGCAAGGCCTGAGGGCGGTGAGAGCGAGGTTTGGGCTGGAATCTCTGCAGTAGAGACCTTTGGCTGTTCTTCTTCATCTTGGCCATTATATTTTGTGTATTGCTGTCGGGTTCGGTATTGAAATCGTTGAGGGAGCAAGGATGGCGTCATCGGCGACAGTTCGTGTGGATAAGGCAACAAGCGATCTGTTGCTGGGGCCGGATTGGACTATGAATATGGAAATCTGCGACTCCATCAATTCGGATCCCGGGTGAATGCTCTTTAACTTTTGGCGTGCGGTTCTGTTACTCTTGTTCTCGGCGGGAAAGGATTCATTGCATATTTTACAGATAATTTTGTTTGAATTTGCCTGACGCTTTGCTTGCTTTGTTGCTCGCTGTAATTTTTGAAGCTGTCTTGATTTGTTTGATATTAGTGAAAGTTTTCTCCAGCAGCGCTTTTTCTTTTTGTTTGAGATGGTAGTTGTGGAAAGGATTGTCTTTCGATGCTTTACATGTTTTTTTAAGAGTATCACGGCTAATTTTGCTCTTCAAAGTTCGATTTGTGGAGATGCACCACTATTTCCGCTTTATTTTATGGATGAAATTTGATTGGTGTGGTACAAGCTTTGAGATAGACAGTGGAGCTAATAAAAAACGAATTTGAGCTAATTTGGAATAAACATTCTACTTTGTATCTCTCTGTGCTTATTATTTGCTTTGCTAATTTAAATATTCTAGAGTCTAGATATGTGTCAGTTTTTGAGTGATCTATATCAGAACCTTCTCAGCTTTTTTTTTTTTTCGGAGGAACAACCTTCCTGCTTTAATCTTGATGTTGGCATTAAAATACTGGCCTGTATTTTGTTTCTGTTGTACGCTGAAAATTCCTTTTGCCGGTAAAAAATTGTCGGACTTGATAGCTCGGAAACATTACTGAACACAATTACTTCAAAATAAATTACTAAATCGATGGTTAATCGAGATTTTTTTTTCCTACCGGAAGATCCTTAAGCTTGTGCTTGAGCAATGAAGTTCAACCTGAATCGGGTTGACGTACTTCATTGGGATTCCTTTGATTAAAAAAATGAAGATGAATAATAAAATGCATAAAATTAATATTAAAACTCATAGCGGGCGGAGTGCTCGATTAAATGTTGAAGTTGTGCCATATATGCTCAGTGCTTTCCCCGAACCAAAAAATCTGGAGCTTTTGACGGACAAGATCAAGCTAATTTGGGCTTAAAAATTTATTAGAGGCAGCAGCAGCACACAACTGGATAATTGATATTGTCCTGCCTTGCTTGTTTAAGATTGGCCTATATGAGCAACTAAATGGAAAACACAGCTCGATTCAATCCCCTTTTTTGCATGGATGATTCTTCTTATTCTCGCCCTTGCATGAGTTCATGTTATGCCAAAATTTTGCCTACAATCTTTAGAAATAAAATCTAATTATATAGTTTTTCGATATGCTTCTGTTTTACCATAACCATATTAATGTCGCCAATTCTATGTTAGGGTAGCTAACCAGAAGCTTTATAAGTAAAGAAAAGCTCTTCATTTGCATTGGCTGCCAAAATTTCAGTTCTTTGAGCAAAGTGCTCCAAACTTATAATTCAGTCCTGTAGGATATTTCTTTATCATAGAAGTTCTATTTCTTTACATTGGAACTTTTAATTTTGTTTTTTATTCATGGTGACTTAGATTGGCCTACTTTGTGCATAGTTCCGCTGTTATTTCACTAGGTGATTGATTGTAATTGTCTTATTAATTATGTTTTAGAAATTAACTAGTAAATTAAGTTATATTTAGTAAATCAATTATTCCAAGTCTTTGTTACTTGAATAATTAGTAGCCTAATTATATGATTAATTAATGGAGTGTAATTTTAATTAAATTTAAAATAACTTTAAATGAACGTTTTGGGAAAAACGATGGGGGTCGGCTCTATGGTTCAGGCCTACACTTCATGTATCCATCTTGGGGAATCCCAGATACAACATATTTGATTGGATTTGCATGACTTCCTCTTGACAAGAACGACCACAACTGTTTGCTCTTCTCTATTTGTCAATTCTATCACAAGGACAAGACCGTAAACCTAGTCTCACTGCCTCTTTAACCATCCTTCCTTCTATAAAATGCCTTACAAGTCCTTTCTCATAATTAGTTGGTTGCAGATGCTTCTGATCACCTAGTATTTGAATTCAGGGAGAGAAGGAACAAATGAAAAATGAGAATTCATGATGTTGACCCCAGTAGTTGGGATATGGTTGATACCGATTCTGATGTTGATGATGTTTGTATCTATGGAGTCCCTTTAATGGCATGTCCAGATATTTTGGAAACCATACATAATTTCCATACCACAATGTTTAGCTTCACTTTGGCAACACTTTGGATTGCATATCCATGTATAAGAACCTTGAATGTGCATGACATCCAATGATCAGTCAAAGCTTGAAGAAAGTTCTAGTTCCCTATGTACATTTAAAGTTTTCTTGGATAGTATTAAATTATAAATTTTTGCACACGATGATATACAATGTTTCACATTCATTTATGGAGAATCTAATCAAAAGATGTCAAATTTGCATATCCATGAACGTTCTTTGTTCTATGTAGATAACATTGTATTTACAAATAATCAATGGTGACATCTAGCTTCTATATTACACAGTTATTAGACCTGCTACATCGACAGGTTTAACTTTGCCGGTGTATTTTTCTTGCTGCGATCTTGCTGATAAACTGTCTACTTCATATACTTCACTTTTTTCCATTTCACTGCTTAAACCATAATTTGCAGAACACACACTTGCACTGTATTGTTTTGTAGCTTGTACCATGGCATGGCATGTAATAGATGACAAAATTTGACATTAGTTCTAGCGCCTAGCCATGGTTGGACCAAAGCTTCTAAGCAGACAATTACTATCTTCTATGTGATGTATCTGTCTTAATTAAGGAGAAGCCAATTTATGCCGTAACTTAAATCATATTTTAGGAATTGTATGAAGGATCTTTGGCACATAAGAAATTCCTCTAAATTGCTTAGTAAATTAATGGAGATGTGTTTGATTTATGTGAATAGGAAAATTCAAATGCATTTACCCCAGGTTTGTGATCTACATTGTATGGTTGTGATAAAATGTGATTTGCTTACTTAATCGCTGTGAGTGACTGATCTACCAAAATGTGGGATTTTAACTCTATCTATAAGTTTGTATGCTACTTAATGCATTTACATCTTGAAACAAGTGTTCGGCCTCAATATCTTAGTGCTTCTTTTGTACATTTATTTTATAATTTTAGTCACAAATGTGATAATTTGTTGTCCAATATTTTATTTGTTTTACTATGCTGGCTACTGCACGTTTAAGTATATTTTTCAAATTACCCACAATTGCTAAATGCTAATAGTTAACTTCCTTCAGTTGCCCATCCTTCTTAACACCGGACTATTTTTTTTAATTCGTATTTCTTATAAAGAAGAAGAGTTTGATATACTATGTTTAGTTTCCCTTGTAAATACAGATGGATTATTATAAAATTCTAAACTAATATTTCAAATGTAATAGGCTGGCAAAAGAGGTAGTCAAAGCTGTGAAGAAAAGACTGCAACACAAAAGCCCCAGGGTTCAATTTCTTGCGTTAACAGTATGATTTCTTTCATTCCTTCGCTAAGCATCTTGCATTAGGTTTAAGAGGACACCAAGTCATTAGTTAATGATAACTAGGGTTCTCTCCTGCCGAGAGCCTTCTGTTTGTATGTTGTCATTTTTTATGATATTTTTGATCGGTTAAGCACCCACTGCAGCTACTAGAAACGATGATCAAGAATTGTGGTGATTTTATTCATTTCCAAGTTGCTGAGAGAGATATACTACAGGAGATGGTTAAAATTGTTAGGAAAAAGGTAATCTTTTTCTTTTCTAGTTCTGGAAATGCCGTGAGAATATGCTTTTGATATAAACAAGAGAATGTATTCAGTTTCTTTTTACGCCATTTAAGAATCGTTTCCTTTGAATTGAGGTTACTCAATCTTCATTTCACTTTATTGCCTACAACCATGTTTTAAGCTGTTGTTATGTTTTGAACATTTCTTTTCTTTGTTAGACAGTGTAGCTTTGTGCAGTACAGAGGTAATAACATATGTTAATATCTGGTAATGTTATGTTTGCTTTATAATAGAAGTGCATTCTCACGCTTTCTAAATTAAGAATGTTATCTTTTTGGGGTACAACGACAGTCACTATACTTATCATTAGTCTTATTCTAATTATTTGGGGTTGCCCTTCTGAATTTTTATTCTCTATTCATACTTATTGAATGCTATATGGTGATAATTGTAGAAGACATTGTGCGCAACTTCTAGTCATGTTAAGATTGGTTTCTATGTTATATTTTTTATCGATTCACGTTAATCTTTTTCTACTCTCCATTGTATATGCCCGAATCATTTATGTTTATCTTTTATTATCTTATTCACTAGGTATTACTTCCTTTTGTCTCTTTAATATATTAATTTTTCATTCTAACTAATTTCATAACACATTAAACTCAACAATTTTCATTTTAGCTACATTCTGATTGACCAACACTTGATTTATATTGCAAATGCTAATGACAATCCCATATCCTCTAAACAAGATATGCCTTCTAACTCAACCTAAATGTATTTAAAGCCATGCTGTCAAATCTCAATGCAATGCAAGTTATACTAACCAATAGGAAGGAAAAATGGATCTTGTAATCTTGCCCTTCAAGCAAGACAACCCGAATATATGTATAAATGTATATAGTTTGATTTAGTAATTAAATAAGCTTGAATATATTTTTTTAAATATTTGATGTTTAAATAAACAAACTTGAATAACTATATGCTTGTCTCATTTGTGTTCACGAAAAATATCACTTAAAGCTCGAGAAGTAGCTCGATGCCAAGCTTAATAGGATGCTTGTTAGGAAGCTTGATTCATATTCGATACAGAGGTCATGAACAAAATTTTTTATAAGTAATTTTTTGTACTAAATACGTTTCTTAAGATTATCCTAAGCCTTTATTTGGTATATTTTCATATAATTAATAGTTTTATTATAATAAATGATTCTTATTTAGGATAAATTAATGTCATTTTTTATGTTATACTCTTTCATTAGAATGAATTTATTCATGAACAAGAGATATTTGTTCATGTTTGTGTTAGACTAGACGAGGAGGGGCCGGTCTAGGAGGGATCAGCCTATGCCTATACCAGGTGGAAGCCTGGTTCCACCCAGGCTTAGCCCCCCTCCCCCTTGGGGGTGGGGTCCACACATTAAAGAAGAGAGAGAGAGAGAGAGAGAGAGGGGCGAGTGAGAGGGAAATTTGAATTGGAGGGGCTATTTTGATTTTTTATTTTGTATTGTTCGCTTTTAATAGTTATTTCATCTTAGGGTTAGGATTTATGTTATGTTTTGGCTGAATTTGTATTTCTCTTAGGGTTTGTTTGTTCTCTAGTCGCTGGCTAGGGATTAGGAGAGCCGGATCTTTCTCTCGAATTAAAGATCCATTGTATATTGTTTGTTTTCTTCCATCTTTCATTAATTATCAAGTTTTATCTAGTGTTTTGACACCAATTTTCTATTTTATCTTGCTGAAATTCTAAATTTCAGCAAAGATTCTGATACGGAGGCAGAGGCAGCAACCCTAGTGGCTGATTTGGTGGGGTTCAGCAAAGATCTAATTATTTATGTTAGGAGGGGATTAATTAGGAAAGGAGTTTCCTAATTTAAATTCAAATAAAAGAAGGAATTAATTAAGATATGATGGTTGAATTAGGAGTAAAATATATTAGGAAAGGGAGCTAAGGAGGTGGAAATTAGGAGGGAAATATATTAGCAAAGGGAGCTAAGTAGGTGGGAGAGCTTATTTAAGGGGAAATTTAGGGTTATTTTGTTTTACGCATAATTTGAGTTGTGTTGTTGTATTTTTTTTATTAGGGCTTCCTATCACAATCTAGGGTAAGAAGAAGAGATCTACTTCTCTAATTATATATCGATTATATCTTTTATTTTTTGTTGTGTTATTAATAAAAATCAGCCACTATTCCCCATAAATCTATTATTTTTGGCTTATTTTCTATGGATTTCCTACTGTGGTTTGTTGTTTTTGTATCCAAGTCGCATCAAATTGATATCAGAGCAGTGTCATGGGCTGAAATTTAAGTCATCATCACTAATTTCTGCTACATTTTTCTGACCGCCTTGCTAATTTGTTGTGTGAAGGCTATTGTCATTGTTTTTTTTGTTGTTTTTAGAGGATTTAAACCTAAATTAGTTAAATGGCAGCAAAGAAGATACAGGCTTTGGAAGGAGAGTTGGAACAAGGGCTAGGAGCAGTCTAAGCAACACCATGGGAGGGGCCTATAGGAGTACTTGTACGACCTTGGCATTGAGGGCCCAAATGATGTCATTTCAGAGGGACGCCCCTAAGGAGAAAGGCACTAGAGCCCATCCTAGAGGCAATTTCAAATGCCTCACAAAAGCAAAAGTTAAGGATAGGCCGGCAAAAGGGCTATGCTTCAGATGTGATGAGAGATTCACAACCGGGCATAGGTGCAGGAATCGAGCCCTTCAGGTCTTACTAGTTTGTGAAGGGGAAGAGGAGAGGGGGTACGAGTTGGAGGATGTTTTAGAGGAGGCTAAGTAGTTACACTTGGATGTGGCGAAGGTGTGCTTGAGCTCAGTGGTGGAATTTACTCCCAATCACACCATGAAGACGAGGGGGAAAATTGGAGAGTAATCTATGGTAGTTTTGGTGGACAATGAGGCTACACATAACTGCATCTCAAACTGGTTGGTGGATCGGTTGGGGTTGAAGTTAGGATGACTGAAGGATGTGGGGTGATAATGGGAACATGCAAGATAGAGAGGAGCAGGGGGATATGTAAACGGATGGTAATGACCTTGCAGGGTATTTAGGTGATGGAAACTTCATTCCCTAGGATTTGGGAAGTACGAATGTGATTCTAGGGATGAAGTGACTACAGACTCTAGGAGATATGAGGGTGAATTGGAAAACTTTGACCATGGAGATACAGATTGAAGGGAAACAAGTAGTGCTTTAAAGGGATATTTGGTCTCTTTAAAAATCATGCTTAGAACAATTCAGGATGCAGGCTGGGGATATTTGGTAGAGTTCCAAAGCATAGAAATGGTCCATGAACTCCATGCAAGGGAAATTCCATTGGGGGCCCAACAGGTTCTACAACAATATCATGATGTATTTTAGCTATCAGTTGGGTTACCATCGCCTTGAGTGCACGATCTTGCCATCAACTTGAAAGAAGATACTTCTCCCATCAATGTCAGACCATATCGTTATCCCCAGATCTAGAAAAATAAGATAGTGAGATTGATCAGGGAGATGATGGAAGAAGAGATCATCAAACCTAGTGTGAGTCCCTTCTCTAGTCCTATTGTTGGTGAAGAAGAAAGATGACAGTTGGAATTTCTATGTAGATAACAGAGTTCTAAACAAGGAAACAGTGTTAGATGAGTTTCCAATTTCAGTGATATATGAACACTTGGATGAGTTATTTGGAGTTGTGATATTCTTCAAAATAGATTTGAAGTCAGGATACTCTCAAATCAGAATGAAGACAATAGATGTGCATAAGAGGGCCTTCAGGACACATGAAGGGCACTGCGAGTTCTTGGTGATGCCTTTTGGCCTCACTAACAACCCAGCCACATTCTAGTCACTTATGAACCTAGTGTTCCAGCCATATCTCTGAATGTTTGTCTAGTATTTTTTTTTTTATGAAATTTTGATATATAGCAAGACATCAACAGAATACTGGAAACACTTGAAGGCTGTCATGGAGACATTGAGGGAGCATCAGTTGTTTGTCGAAAGAAAAAAGTGCACATTTGGGCAATCATAGGTGGAGTATTTAGGGCATGTGGCGTCTTGAGAGAAGGTGTTAGCCATAGTTTAGAATTGCGTAATTTGAGGCGCGCCTTTGCACAATTTGCTCCAAAATAGCCTCAAAGCCTAGGCAATTCTCAGGCATCATAAGGCATACGCCTCAGGTGGAGTGAGGCGTGCCTCACTATCGTTATTGCGCAATTTTCTTTGAGGCATACGCCTCTAATATGGGGACCCACTTACTTAAAAAAACCTCTTAAATTCTTCCTTATACCCACTTACCCGATCGAAGACCCACTTACCCGACCGAAGACGTCAACCGAAGCCGTGCAGGAAGCACGCAGACGCCCTGCTCTCCCGCACGTTTCCGTCGACTCTCCCGCCGGCGCCACCTCTTGCCGGTGAGTCCTTTGTTTCTTGCCGCCCCTCTACATCACTTCTTCAAGTGTTCTTATGATTTTCTTTTTAAGTTTAGGGTTTGATTTTTCAACTTATAGGAAAGCTAGGGTCATAGTTCTCGATACCGTTAGGTACATGCTCGATATCGATATGTACATGCTCGGTACCGTTAGGTACATGCTCGGTACCGCTAGGTACATGCTCGGTACCGCTAGGTAAATGCTCGGTACCACTAGGCATCTTTCTGTACAAAGGACTTACGAAGTTTAAAAATAAGTAGAACTTCAAAATTACTCTTACAAATAAAATTTTTTCCGGGGCCGTTGCCCCCGGAAACCCTCACAAGGGCGATGCCCCTTGACTCCGCGACCTGACCGGTCAGGTCGAACCCCACCAGGGGGCACGCCCCCTTAGACCTCCGACAACTCGACATATTGTTGTATTCATCATCTTTAGTAATAGTTGTTAGTGTTAGTCTGTTTCTTCATGAGTGTATGTTTTGATTGGGAGACATTGGACCAGAGCCCTACATGGGGTCCTGGTTGGGTACCCATTGGGTGCCCACGCTCTGCGCTAACGGACTTTGCCCACCCACACCCACCTAT